GATGATTTCGCTTGATTGCTTCGATTGTTTGCCATTTAGTAGCGCTGTCCTAAGTGCTTCTTGAATTCTTTGGCAAAGAAATTGAAAAATAACACGCAAATTTCAGCTTTGAGCTCAGTTCAACTTTAATTGGAGGAGCGGCAGGACCAGCCCAGCCCAGCCCAGCCCAGCTCTGCCCTGTTCTGTTCTGTCCTGCCATGACATGAAAGCTTCACATTATTTAATAAAAAACTTGCTCCTCTCTTGCGCGGCGACGAACAATGTAGAGAATGGTGGAGAAACGAGGCTCAGGGCGCTATTAAATATTGACGCGCCCGCACAAAGGCGGCTAAATGCCACAAAAGAACTCATAATGGCGACTTTGTTGCCACTCTAATGCCATTTTATGTGCTTTATTAAGGCCAAGAAGCGTCGGCCTCGGCCTCAAGGCGGCCAAGACAATGGCCCTAGAGGCATTCACTCGAGACATATACATACATACATAAAAGATAACATCAAACGGAAATTTGTGTCAGGTGAAGCATTAAAATTACCAATTACCTTACAATGCAAACTCGTTATGCCACAAAGACGGCATTAACCAGAAGACGCATTACAAGGACGGGGCAGGCAGGACACTGTAGAAATCTCAATTAGGATTTAGCAAAATAGTTATTCCAATTATGTGGGACAATTGAAGGGATTCTGGTTGAATCAAAGTTAAGTAAAGTGTAGGAAATCTCAGTCGGAAAATGACACCTGAATAATCTCAAAAGATGGGGGAAATTTCATGATTTATTGCACAAAAAGAAGCATCATATCTGCTCGGGTTAGGATAGGTGAAAAATCTCTTTCTTTTGGCTATTTTCGAACATACTTTTATGTTATTCGTAGATTTAACCAACGAAAGTGACAGCATAAAAACGAAAGAAACCCCAAAAAAGAAAGCCCCACTTTATGACTCACTTTTTCTGGATTTTTCCCCAGCGCAAAACTTTATCTGTGACCCCCTATAAACAGCAGCAGCATCCTCCTACTGCAGATATAGATACGAATATATGAACATTATGGTTCGTACGGTCAATTTATTACGTTCGCGCCTCGGATGCCCCATGCATGGCTGCATATTAAAAAGCAGATTTAATTAACTTTGGCCAAACTTTTATTAATATTGAACGCTCTTTTCCTCCAGCGCTGCGTCTTTCCTCCTCTGACTGCCAGAAAAAAGGGCGTTAAATGCGCTAAGCAAGTTTAAGCCGTAATAATAAAAAGTAGCGCAAGCGAAAGGGAAAATAAATAAATAAATAAAAGACATACCATCAGCGGGCATTACGTACACAATTTACTTTATTGCATAAACTGATTATAGTTTTAATGCCGCCCAGGACCAGAGCCAGAGCCAGAGAGACCGATACAAGTGATGGAACCCATGCAACGTCGGCCATTCCCAGGGAGACGTTCGACAGTCGGGAAAACTTTAATATCCTGACGTTATTATCATTATTAAACTGTGAATGGTATAATAAACGAACAGAGTAACCGCAGACACAGCGACACAGCGAGGACTTCGAAGTCGCAGGAAACAGTGGGTTGAAATAGAAGGAAAACAGGAAACAATCTTTACCTCAGAATATATTAAATACTCAGAGAAATTAAAGCATTTAAATAATCTCTGACTTCGAATCATTTAAAAAATATACTCCTAAAACTATTTCAAGCCCAAAAAGTTATTTTCGCTTTAAAAAAAACAAATATATTGCCACAATTTAAATACTTAAGAACTTGGCAGATTAAACGTAAGAATAGTGCATTTTTTTTACAGATTTTTGTTGTAGACAAGGAAAATTACATAAAACATATTTATGCCATGCTTAATAGATTTCCGACCACTGTACACACAGTGCCTGCAAATGTTGTGTTTACCGGCAACTTCCGGCTTGAGTGCAACGCTCAGAAGGTAAAAGACAATACGTCCGCCCGTAATCGATGTACGACGGGGAGTTATGAGCGCGTAATAATCTATTGAAATGCGTTTTATTGCGCATACGCCGCATGGGCTCCAAGCTCTTAGTAGTCCTCCTGCAGGGCTGCACTTAATGGCCGGCACGAGTCACACTCCCACAGAAACTGGCAGGCAGGCAGACCTTTAAATGGTGAAAAGATTTCAAGTTGTCTGGCAGTGGGAAAGTTGTCTGCCACAGAGAGAGAGAGAGAGAGAGAGGAAGAGAGTGTCGGAGAAAGTCGTGCACTGTTGCACGCTAATTTCCCATGGCTTGAGTGCTCTGTTAGGATTATACGCGTCTGAGCCTCTGGCCTGAATGTCGGAATGGAAACTTTTTGGCCACAATTCCTTTGGCATTGATTTCATTCAGCTTTGCAGCTCATTTCTCGTCGAGTCAACATGTTCGCCTGGTCACTAATTAGTCGTTAATGATGCATTTCCCCTCCCAGATTGCATGTCTCGATTATTTCGTTTCATTTCATTTCGCTTTGGTTTCGTTTCGTTTCGCACACACGCAAGCACCCACTTTTCCCGCCGGGTTTAATCTTGTATCTGGAAATCCATCGAGACACGCAATATTGAAGCCCTGCAAAAAGTCAGCGCGGAAAATCTCCTCACTCCGCACGCCATGAGTTGTGAAATTTTCCACTTCCGTGATTCGGTTATCCTTATTTACCTGTAAAGAGATAAAACGAAAGCACAGGTTGAGTGAGAGGCAGCGGCAGGCAGCAGGTAGCGGCAGGCAGAGCTGATTAAAATATTTGTGTATGTGGCATTTCAATTTGCTTTGCATATAATTATTATTGTATTACGCATACGCCCCATGGGGCGCCACATGTGATACAACTTTCGGCGGCATCTCCCACTGAACAAAAAATTAACATAAATCCAAGGAAAATATTTGCTTTGCCCCACAGCCTTATGGCATTCCGTATTTAAAGCATATTTTTGGCAGTAGCAGCAGCAGGATGCCTTTGCTCTGCCACTTGCGGCCAATAATTTGCATTCACAAAATATTGCGCCTTCTTTGTGGGTGTTTTAATTTTGCCAAAAAAAACCCCAGGATATATATCATCCAGACACAGATGATTTTCTTGGTATTTGAAGTGGTTTTGTGTGGTCTAAAGAAGCTGCTTTGATTGATTTCATTATGCTTTAAATATGAATTTAAATCATAAATTCACAGCATGGGAGAGAGAGAGAGAGAGAAGTGAGCAGTGAGCAGTGAGCAGTGAGCAATAAGCAATGAATTGTGAAATATGAAAATGTGCATCGTAAATTGGTAGAATATTGTATTTTCCACATTATTTATGATTGCATTTCCAATTCTCCCTAGTGGACACCAAAACCAGACCAGGAAAATTGACATCTGGACTTTGGGGGCTGTCATTAATTTGCTTCGTTAATGTGAAAGGCAAACAAAGTGGAAATTGCGTTCGCTCATTATTTTACATTGTAATTAAATTTATCTCATGGCATCCCACAAATATTTCTGATTACCCTGCACACACCCGCACCATTCCATCGCCCAACCTCCGACAATTTGTTGTTACATAATTACAAGAAATAACACCGCAGGACATCATCGGTACGGGAGTATAAACAAGGCATTAAACTGGAAAACATAAATCAACCATCAAATAAAATACAAAATAAAAAGGAGGAGGAAAGCGCACAAAGTCAATGGGATTTTAACTCCAATCAAGATGTCGTGTTGTGTCGAGCGGGGGATTTCGTTTTCACTAATTAATGCACAGAGTCCATTGCTAATTCATGCACTATCCCCCCACAGCTCCATCATTGACAAGCACACAAAAAAAGATTGTATCTGTCCGTCATTCAGTTGGAAACTTCATTCATTTAGAAGTTACAAATGTAAGTACGTGTGTGTGTTATTATCTTTGTGTATCTCTGTGTGTATCTATGCACCTGTCCGTGAAACGTACACAAACACCCTGCTCACATACTGCTCTGTTCACTGAACACCAAGCTAATTGATTACAACAAATTTCAATTCGTGTTTAATTAAATTAAAATTTTGATTTTATCACAACGATGCCCCCGCCGGCAGCATATTGCAAAGAGTGCCAATGCTTCTCGCATGTGTGGCGTTGAGTTTATTAAAGCTTTAATATTCATGGAAGGAAAATCAGAAAGGCAAGGTAAAGAAGAACGAGGAGAAATAAAGAGTGTAATTAACGCCCACACCTAATTAATGATAATCTTTTGTCATAGGCCTGATTAACATTTGTGTCTGTGTGTTTGTGCGTGTAGTGTAGCTAACAGATTAATTAATGTTTCATAGAAGGAAAAGCAAACAGAAAAAAAATATATAAGGGAAGGCTGGCAATGGAGGTCGAAGCTACGGATACTCTAGGAGAAAACTATTAAGGAAACTATATGATTTATTTATCTAATTGGGATAGGATTTGACAAAGACCAATATCTATTTACAGCAGCAGCTTGATATGGTTATACAATCTTTCCCTAACACGCAAGACTATAAAAGCAAATACTTCCTTTTCTTAATTACAAACATCTACCCTTAATCCAAATACCCTCGTAAGTAGTGCATACAATGAGCAGAAACAAAACAGGGCGACTATTTAAATATTTATTTCACTCATTTGTTTTGCAGGCACACACACATCGCTTTCCCATTCCCATTCTCTACATTCTCCATTCAAGTGTGCGTGTGCGTGTGCGTGGAGACAGAAATTACCTTTTGCACACAAATTGCATTTGCGTGTCAACCGCAGTGCGTCAAAAGAGGGAGACTCCGCATCCCATTCCTTTCTTGAAAGTGGGCGGGTGGTGGCTATGGGCGTGCCACTCGTGTGTCGGCCCTTCGAAGCGTGCGTAAGTCGGCAACATGTAAACGCGTATTAATTAAGGCAAAACAAAGCGCCGCCGCTCAAGACGCAGACGTTGCAGACGATGAAGAAGAAGACCTCGAAGACGATGACATGCAAAGGGAGTGGCAGCATACATACTACAGTCGAAGGCGGAGTGGGAGGGGATGTCAAGATCCTGTTACGCCCACCGGCGTGGCGTCAAGGCTGCTTGCCACTTGAATGTAGGAAACGGCGGGCGATGCCAAGTCCTTATAATGCGCCAGACGTAATACATTTAATTTCTTTCCATTTATTATTCGTGTGGTTCCCTTTGACTGATTCTTTTGAACATTGAACATTTATACATTTTAATTACTTCTCTCCTTTCACTTTATTTACACGCTTTAAGAGCAGCAGCATCAGCAGAGGCAGCGGCAGCTACCATCAATGCACCTGATGCTGTCAGGGATGGGCTGCCGAGAACATCGCTTTTCCTGCTCTGTCAGGCCACCTGTCAACAGAGTCCAGAAGTGTCCATCTCTTGTTTGCAGCAGAGCTCTGTCTGGATATTAGGGGAGTACGGATTTGCATGTGAGTTCCATGGGAGTTTCATTCTAGGAACCAATTAAGCGAGAGAACGAACCCTTAAAGCAAATGCGCGTGTTGGGACGGACGTACAACAATTTCAATTTTCGTGCCATTTCCACTTCCATTTTAATTGCAATTCGTGTTGTAATTTCGGTGGCAGGCAGAGACTTGACGCCGCTTGGCCACTTCATTGGTCATTATGGTCAGGCGGCCGTAAACAAATCCGTAAACAAACTGGACTGCCACCTGTCGACACCTTGCACACCCATTTCTTTTTTCTGCGGTTTTTTTTTTGCACAGAAATTACAGGTTTTTAGGGCAAACCACAGAACAGCAGGCGGTGGCGGTTGTAACACGAAAAGTAACAAGTTCCAGAAAAAGGCGGACGGAAAAGCCGCACGACAGCAACAACCACAACGGAGAGGAAAACAAAAGGAAAACAAGAGGAAAAACTGAGAGAAAAATCATTCATTATCATGTCACGTCAATCGAAAAACAATCTAATGACTGCACATGATTTCTATCTCAAATAGGTTGGAGCTGAACAAACCGTAAGCTGGGGAAATTGCCTCCCCCACACAAAGACCCCGACACAGATACACACTGAAATGAGCACTCGGAAAAGTGGCTGAAAAGTTTGTGGGTGAAACGTTTATTATGCATTAGCCATGCTTAAACGGTTAAATCAACTGTAAATCACCCACCGCCACATGCCGCACGCCAAATAAGGTCAATGAGAAAGGTCCCACGGTCAACTGGCAGCCAAATCAAGTGTGAACCAAGTGAGAGATTTGATAAATGGCAGCGATAATACTCGTGTGTGTGTTTATCAGGGAAGTTGGGTAACATTTTGTGGGCAAGGATTTTCCAGTTGATACTCGTGTGGGGAAAAGTGAACATTCAAATCGGGGTTCCCATAGCTTACACTTTCAAATCAGTTTCATATCTATCAATAGTTACCCTGCCTTGTACTCGTTTAAAATTTCAACAAAATGAAAAGTATTATCTTGGAGGATCAGTTTATCATCCCGAAGTATCCACTGCTGCCCGTGCCACTCATCAAATATGAAACCATACACAATTTGGACTGCACCAGGGATCTGAGGGTCAGTCTGCCACAAATTATAGTGAAAGTGAATGATGTTGCAGGCGGCGATGGCCCCAAGGAGCCAACTGCTGGCACTCGCCTGTTTCAGAGCATTGGCGTGGAAGCGGAGTCCTCGGAGCCAGAGGAAATTAAATACAAATGGAGCTCGCCTCGGTTGATGATCCTCTGCGAGGATGGGGACATCAATTGTGCCATGCACTATCTGCTGGAGTCCATTCACGATCCCTTTGCTGCCAATGCGGTGGCCACGCTGCTGCTGCAAGAGTCCATGCTGGAGGAGTTTACCGAACGACTGCAGGATCACTTGGTGGAGCTGCGTCCCGAGATAGCCAATCATCCGGTGTATCTGAAAACTTTGGCCAGAGTGGAACAGCTGAAGGCCAGAACGATTGTGTCCCCGTCGGAGCACGTTCCACGGAATGCCTCGCCCACGATGGTCTTTGATTTCAGTCACAATTACTTTGGGGATGGACCCACTGGGGTCATCACCCTGCACACCTTTCGCACCTTCAAGGACGCCCTCCAGGTGCAGGCGCGTGAGCCGCTGGCCTTCACTTCGGTGAGCATTTGGAATGAGAAACTGGGAGCCGCCTACGAGCTGGTCGCACGCCTCAATTTCGATATATTTCTGCTCAACTGCTTCTACGTCAATCTGGATCCCATTGGGCTGGCGTTTGTGGGCAATATGAACTCAGCGAAGGTCTCCCAGGACTACCACTACGAATCGCTGACTTTCCAGAAGAAGCGCAAGGTGATTGTCCACCCAGCGGCTACCACCTGGGGCCAGAGGGCCAAGGAGTTGCAGCCGCCACAGCCGCGATCTTTCAATGTGGTTATACTGTAGAGACCACGGCCCCCTTCCCTCGGGGGGTCACTCAACTCTGAAAAGTTTCGCTAGCTAAGTTTCCTCCGCCACCGCCCCCCCAAAAAAGAAGACGACTAATTGAGTTTCCGGCTGCTTGGGCAGCAGCTCCATTAGCAATTTGATTGCCCAAATAAGTTTCCAGGGAAATTCAACAGGCGGCCCGGCTCGGCTCGACTCGGCTCCCTCTTTAGGAGAAATAATCAATGGAAAATTATCGTTGTGTGTGTCTCTTTTTGGGGGTTGGCGGTCCCTCTTTGGTGTTGTTAAAATTAAAAATTCCTTTTGCGAAGTAATTTACGTAACGTGCCAATAATCTCAAAAATGAATTTACCATTCCCACAGCTCAAACTTGTGCCCCTGCTCCGCCGTGCAGTCCTGTATCTCTTTGCTTGCCAAAAAACAACAAAGAAAAGTTCGTGTTGGCAACATAATGTGGTGGGGCAGGAACCAACTCAGGGGTTCTAGAAGGTGTAGCCTCCTCGGGAGTGGAAATAGCAGGAGCCCCTGGAGCCTCTGTCAGAGAGAGAGTGGAGTAGCACTAGCCCTCAGGCGGAGGCACAGCAGGAAGAGCACAAGGAATTTCCAAAATGCCATAATTACTCCACTTGCCACTTGCCACCGCCTCCACTCCACCCACTCGGCTCAGATAGACGTCGACCTGCTGGCTGGCAGTGGTGCTGTGCTGTTGGTGGAGTGGTTTGAGGGCCATGGGGCGGTCATATTAGTGGCACATATTCGGCTTGTTGGCTGGCCAAATAATACCGCTATAAATGGGAAGAACAGGAAGAGGAAGGACAGCAGGCGGTAGTGGGGCCAGTCCCCGGCCAACCCCGTCCCACCAACTTTATAATGTACTTCCGTTTGCTTTCATTCACATGGCAGCGGCATATCAAAATATTTGACATTTGCATAAATAACGCGCGCGATGCGATCCGGGGCCCGGAGTTGAAAGGCAAATAAGGCCCGACCGGCCCGGCCCCCATATGTGTAAAGTATCACGACTCTTGCCCCTGTCCCTGCCCTGCCACACAAATATCATGCCTGAAATTGGGCAAATTTAAAAAAGAGAAAAGGAAGAGAGAGGGCAGCAGCAGCAGAAATATGCAACGCAGGCAGCCAGAACAAAACCGTGGAATGTCCGCTGAAAACGAACCACTACGATGGTTGGGTGGTTGGTGTGCTGGTTGTGGTGCTGTAGCATGCCACTAAAGCAAAGCCAACTCACTAAATAAACAAAATCATAAACCAACAAGCGAGAGAAATATGGGCAGCTTTGCTTAGGGCTCCAAATGTGTTGATACTCTCATCCTGATGGAGAGATTGGGACTCAAATGGTTCAATACGCAGCAGGATTTATAATGTCATAACAAAAGATATAAAGATATATATATGTATATGAATAGAGTTAGCATTTGGTCAAATGATTAAACGAAAAAGGCTACCCAAATAAACAGAGAATTTTTGTTCCATTTTTGTTGCATAGCCTTATATCCCCCCAGTAACAACTCCATTCCCATATGAATCATACCCTTTCGTAAGGGCATTCACACACACACACACACACGCATACAAAAAAGAGAGGAAAAAACGCCAGCGCGAAATGAAGTTTATTTATCCAGCGAATGGGCAAAAATTAGAGGCGGCTGCATGCAAATTGGCAATTAGGAAATCCTTTATTTTATTTTATGAACTTTTTTTTTTGCCGTAGTGAGTGCCGATTTCATTTTCTTGGTTTTCATGTTGGTTTCATGGCTGATGGGAGATGGCGGCGGCTCGTTGACTGGTTGGGTTTTCAAAATGCAAATAAATGAGAGTCCCTCCCTCCTCCTGCTGGCGCCCTTCTTGCCTCATGGCTTCCTTCCCCACCCGCAACTTCAGTGGCGGTGTTGAAGCCCCATTTAGGGCTTTTATTTGTTGTGGTGTGTGTGTTTTGGGGTGGTGGGAGGCTCCATTTCTCGCGCTTTTATTTGGCATTTTATTTTGGCAACGTATTTAATTTCATTGCAGGTCGTTGCTTGCCTTGGCTTGTATTTATTTTTAACATATGAATGGAAATGAATTTGGTTAAGTGGAAGGTTAACTTTGGAAGCGGCCGAATGTACTCCCAATTTAAAAATATTATTACGGCACAGGTTGAATGTGGCACTTATTATTTTAGGGGATTAGTTGATCAAAACAAAGCAATCGTGCAGCTAATGAGCTCTTTCAAATAACAGAATATATAAAAAAATACTCCCCAAATGGAGAGTGTAAAAGAAATACTAAGCGGTCAAGATAAAAAGCAGGATATCTCTTGAAAAATAAATCCACAAGCGATAAATTTCAGACGGGCAGCAGCACGTCCAGGGAGAAAAAACTCTTGAGACGCGTTGGCTGGGAAACATTTCATTTCGTTTCGTTTCGCTTTGCTTTGCTTCGATTTTGTTTCGTAATTGCAAAGGTGAGGGCGGAACGAAAGCAACGAAAGAAAGAAATACCAAACAAAGAAAAGCAGACAGCAGAGGAAGAGCGAAGCCCAAAGTGAAGTGGAAATCTCAGTTAAGTTGAAAGATTACATCCTGTTTGGGAATGGGAATCGGGCGATGGGCGATGGGGTCCTGGGAACCTTAACTAAAAGTCAATTCCCAAATCAACAGTGGGAGATGACTGTGGGGAAAAGTAGCTTATTTCAATCGACAATGTTTAAATTGTGCAAATCCTTTTATTTTAACGATTCTCAAATGTTCGTTCTTCCTGTTTGGCTCTCTCTTTTTGCTTTGGCAGGGCAAGGCAACCATTGTTTTGGGGCATTGTTTCATGCAAGTTTGATATCCAAATCAACTGCAGCTCTGCCTTTAATCCGGCTGAGGGTTCGCTCGGTCCGTCCGTCCGTCCTCTATTCAGTTGTCAAAATAAAAGACCTCGCAACCTGTTGCTACAGAGGATTACTCGTGCGTTGAATAGTACCACCACCACCACCACCAGCACGACCAAGCCCACAAGGTTTCACTCTAAATCCCCCGCTCTAAACACATAGAAAGAGAGAAAGTTTTCACTTTGATATTTGATTTTCAGGGCCCAGGAAAAATCACTCGAATGGAAAAAGGTTCAAATTACCGCGAGTTTTTAGCTGTTTTTCTTCAGTTTTCCTTTCTCAATTTCCCCCCGCCCCCATTTTCGTTGGCTGCACTTTACCTTTCGGCTTTTTGAGTTTTATGCCAAATGCTGGTCTAAAAAAAATCCCTGACCCACTCAGCGGAGCCTGCTGCTGCTGCTGTTTTCTGTTTCTCTGTTTTTTTGACAAAATACGAGTACGTCTGCAAATTGAGGCAGTGGAATTACTTGATCCATAAGGGGATTTAGAAATCCATTTCAGTGCCATGGCAACCTACTTCAATTTTTCCCCTTTTTAAAGTGAAGGTTTTTCCTTTAAATATCGATTTAATTAATTTGAAAGAACATTTCAGTCTCAATTAAATATTAACCAGGCTGACTGGCATATTTACGAATGTTGAATGTGGCATATGGAATATGGGATGTGAGTGCTTCCGCCTTTTTGCCCAGTGCCACTGCCACAGCAGAGGGTTCTGTCTGTGGCTTAGGGGAGCAGGTCATATCGCATGACAGCCATTAGGAATATTGATTTCCATATCGCAACATTAACAAAAGTCAGAAGGCAGCAGTAGCAGCAGCAGCAGCAAACGAAAAGTGCTCATTCTCAAGCTGGCAAAAAACAGCTCAAATGAGAGAGAGTACAGCAGACAGGATACAAACACTCACACAGACTCACAGACGGGCATACACACATCGAAATGCGCTGACGTAATGTGAAAATTATGCGTTGTAATTTACGCCAGCCAGAAGGAAAAGCGGAAGACGACGCACTAAAACAGTTCAAGCAGCAGAACAGAAGCGAGGGAAGAACCCAAGGAGCATGGGAAAAGCAGCAAACGAAAGACAACGATAGACAACGAAACAAACGAAGAAAAAACATGCAAGATATTTAAAAGCAGAACGAATATATAGACAGGCATTCACACACAGATACACATGTTTAGATGTGGCTGTATGTGTGTGTGTTTGTGTGTTTTTATGCAGATGTGGACATGAAAAATTGGAACACTTTAACAGTCAAAGCAGAGCGACACACAGGCTCCCCATTTCCCTACCCCTCTGCGCACTCTATCACTGTTGTTGTTTTTTGGCACTTTTTCACCATCTTCTGTTTCATCTTACACTTTTTTTGCTTTTGGGTGGATCCCTCCGAAAGGAAGTTGTAAAAATAAAACATGGCACGTTTGCAAGTAACAAAAAAAAAAGCAGGAAAATGTAAGGCATGGAAAAATGCCACCAAAAAAATACCCGATTGGTAGATGGAATGTGTGGAACACGACAGAAGAAATACTTTATTCGAGGAAATATATTTTGGGACTATCCGATGGAATTTTTTAGGGGATCGTAATAAAACTTCTTTAAGCGATAGATAGAACTGATAGAACGAATTTGAAAACCCTAGATCTTCTGCTCCTCTTCCAGTTTGATCCCCTTTTCATTTCTTTTTGTTCTACTGTCACATAAATCCCTTACCCACTCACAATTAAAGGGTATAGCAATACAAAAACAATAGAAGGAAAACCCACCAGCAGCAGCAGAGAAACGAGAGTGAAAAATAACTACATGAAAATTTGTGGTCGCTGAGGAATTCGACTGGGAAACGGAGACACTCCTCCTTCGTGGGAGATGTTGGAAATTTGTGGGCACTAAACGTGGCATGTGGCATTGGCATAGGCAGCAGCAGCAACACAACCTGCGTGTGTAAATGCTTCGAAATAAATTTGTGTCGCCTGCAACGTTAGCAGAAAAATGAAAATGAAAATAAAAATGTGTGTAACAACAGCAAGAACAAGCTTTGGGGGAGAGAAGAAGCAAAGCCTCATAAATGTTTACACCTTGTCTGGGTAGACTTTTAGGCTCAAATGGAGCATGGTCTGGGGATGAGAATGGGAATGGGGCACACAAACGTGTCAATGATGAGGCCGCTGCTGCTGTGGGGGATGGGAGGACGAAGACACGGCTGATAAACGTCGTTGTAATAATGATAATGGCTGACGGTGCATCCTGTTGCACAGTGGAACGGAAATGTGACAGTCCATAGAAGCTAATGAACTCGTCGAGGTGTGAGATATAACTCACAGAGAGGTGTGTACTGTACTCCACTTCCTGTTGAACCCTGGGAGTGGGACGACTTCCCACTCGGGTTACAGTATGCCGTTCATCAACTGTTTGGTGTGGTCTTCCCACTGTTTTGCTATGCTTTTAC